ATTTCTGGAGTTCTGTTGTTGTGTTTCTGTGTTCTAAACTAGTTGTGGTCATAGCAATTTCTCATATTTATAGGAAAGGAATGGAATTTTTAGTTCATTCACAGTTTGGGGCTGAATAAGAAGCATTATTGAAAGTGGGTTCTTATATTTGCATCTTAAAGTTGTATTCAGTGTATTATATTATTTATTGCATTGATGTTAACATCGTTATAAGTATGTTTATAGGTGTTACAAGTTAAGATTTTGAGTTTTGGGTTTTTCTTGTTTATATTCCAAAATGGTCACTGCTATTGGGGGCTCTCGAAGGCTCGTCTCAAATCAATTTTAGAATTTCTTAGCGTTCTTTTTTGTTGTGATTTCTCTGATTTTGGAATAAACTTGGATTAATTGATTTTGTCTATGTAGTATGGTCGTAGTGGCAACTTCAGGGACTGGATATGTGCTGGGGAGTGGAAATGCCATTGATTTTGCGGTTGGACTTGTGTTGGAACAATGATGGTTGCTAACTCCTTGAATCAGGTACGATGTTTTACTCTTTACTGACTTGTTATTTGCTATCTTGGAACCTTTGGTTGTCATGCTCCAGAGTAAGTTCTCAGCTGCTTTCTCAACTTCTTGCTTGACCTCTGCTGAAGTATAATCATATAAATATAATGCCTGTTTTCCTTACAATATGGAGTTACTTCATAAATGAAGTCTTAGGCATCCCTCGTGAGAGATAGCCAAGCATGAACCATAAGCATATAAGCTTCCTGTGACAATCGAACACTGATCTAACTTCTGGAGTTTCAAATGACAGATTCACAATGACTGGAGCACTGACTTTCAAGAGTGATGGTTATAGTTTAGGGGTTATCCTTCTGGAGCTCTTAACTAGACGTAAACCTGTTGATCATACACTCCCACATGGACAGTAGAGTCTTGTGACATGGGTATTCTAGCAAAATTTTCCTTGGCAATTTTTTACTAGTCTATATTTGCAACGTTCATGCTGGCTGATCCTTGCATACTTGACTGTTAGGCAACTCCACAACTTAGTGAAGATAAAGTGAAGCAGTGTGTTGATGCTAGACTACTTGGAGATTACCCTTCAAAGGCACTTGCAAAGGTGATAAAGATAATGTTCCTGGCTATGAACTTGCATTTACCTTTATCTTGCTAATCATTCAAAACATGTTATTCTTCCATGAACTAAGTTTTGATGAAATCAATACTTGTTTCTTATGTGTTCTTTGTTGCAAATAGTTTGCTACTGCGGCCACATTTTGCCTGCAATACGAAGCTCATTTTCGGGAGCATTGTAGTCAAAGCTCTCCAGCCTTTTTTGCACACTAGGCCCACTGTCCAGGGTAAAATGCAACATCCATAAATTCCAGTGAGTTGCCTTCCGGTCTTTTTGCTAAATCTGACGTTATGATTTGTTCTGTAAATTGATGCTTCTGGATTTCCATTGTTTTAAACCTTGGAGATTTTATTTGTCTTGTCGTTGTAGTTCTAGTTTGACTCGAATGATACGAGGCGTGATATTTGAATGATTTGGGGCATGTTATTACTAATTTTTATTTTTATTCTCTTATTTATAAAACTTAAATGTAGCATGTTTTTTTTTTTAATAATAAAATATAAATATTTATTTATCTATTAATATTTAAATTATTAATTACTAACATTTATATTTTATAAATATAAAAATTTCATTTTTTAACATCAATTTTAACATAATTAAATTAAAAATGAATTGAAACTCTATAAAAATGA